TTTAACATTGCCTATGGCTTCTGTGCTACCAAGTCTGGATTTAAAAATAAAACTTGTTAAGGAGTAGGCGGATGGGAAAGAAGAGGACTTAGATCTCATTGGCATGAATATTAGCAGCAATTTGGTAATACACTGACAGGATGGAGAAGCCAGCTGCACTTCCTTCCTTCTTGCTCTGGTTAGAGAACCAAGATAATCCAGTCGTTAATTCTTAGATTAATGAGTTCAAAAAACTGTTTTATTGACTCTAAGATGCATTTTGGCTGGAGCCAGTAATGTTTTTCCCCCAAAATTAAATTATTTTTTGTAAGTACTGTCCTTACCCAAAAAGAAGCATTCCTGAATTTAAAATGACCACCCACTCACTTAAAAGCAAGACTAAGACAAAATTAATCAGCCTTTAATACAGTATTCTCAGGGAAATTAAGAAAATGCTCCTAGTTAAAAGTTAAATTATTACTGGGTGGGAAGGGGAATTAATTTTACCTATAAGCAGATATAGTATTTCTGTAAACTGCTTCTTAGGAGAGGAATGCCTCATAAAAGATGAAACCCTTCCTTCCTTCAATATTTATTATTTAATCATTGCTTGTTTTATAAAAGGGATAGCCTGCATCATTCATCAAACAATCTCTGCCCTCAGGTTTGCTTTCTGAAAGACAAAACAAAAAATGAAAAGAGATTGGAAGGGAGAAGAAAAATGGTTCAAATACCTTATTAAAGACAACATTGCTTGAGAGGAGGAGTTAAAAAATCTTTACTCTATGCTCACCAGTTCTGATATCATCATTGGCCTTTCTAGAAGTGTCTGTCACTTCTTCTGTAAGGCAGTCTCAAAAGTTGGGTTCTGAAGGTAACTGCAGATTCCTTCTATGATCACCTGGTTCTCATGGTGGCTTAAGTGAAAGGAAAGTGGTGTCTTCTAGAGGTTTTGAATTTTTCACTGCTCCGAAAAGAATGATAGCAGACAAGCTGTAATACCAGAAGCAAATGTGTGAAGATGGAAAGGACAAGGGAGAACACTGTTGATGGTGAGACAATGAGGTGGGAAGGAAGGAAGGAACAAGGAGAGTGGTCTTGTTTGTCTCTGAATCATAGAATGATAGAATTGGAAGGAGTAACTTAAGCTATGGCATATAGCCCCCTGCTTAATGCAGGAACCTAAATTAAAGACTGCTGCCTAGCCTTCACTTGAAACACATCCTATAAAAGGGAGTTTACCACTTCTCTCTTGAAGTGTTTTTACTATTAGGAAGTTTTTGCTAACATTTAAGCAGAATCTGTCTTTCTGTACTTTAACTCCATTGTTCTAAGTTCTTCACTTTGAAGCAAGAAAAAACATGTATTGATCTTTTTTATGTGTGACATCCTTTCAGGTATTTGAGGAATCCTATTACATCCCTCACTCAACCACCTTCCTCAGAGTTCCAAGCTTCTTGAATTTGTCTTTGTATTTTTTTGCCCTCTAATCATCCTTGTGGCTCTTCTAATTTCTCCGAGTATTTCTTAAACTATGATGCCCCAAACTGGACCATTTTTCAAGGTCAGGTCTGGCCAAAGCATAGTGGAACAAATATTTCCTATGATCTGGAAATTTTACTTCTGTTGATGCACCTTAGAATTGCATTGGTTTTTTTGCAGCCATATCACAATGCTGGTTCATATTCCATTTGCAACCAGTTACTATTCCAGGATCTTTTTCACAAGTATCAAGCCAGGTATCCCTCCTTATATGTCTATGCATTTGACATTTTAATCCATTAAATTAAATTTTATTATTTTGAACCTATTTCTCTAACCTGTGAAAATTGTTTTCAATTGTATTTCTGTCTTACAGAGCATCTGTAAATCTCACAAGCATTCCTTCCACCTCTTCATCCAAATCATTAATAAAAATATTAGAAGACTCAGGATTATCCCCTAAATACCTCTCTCCAATTTGATGCAGAACCATCTTTGAATATGATTTTCAAGCCACCAGTGTATCACTTTATTATTATACATGTCTCTTAATCAGCACATCTTTGCTGAAGTTAAGATAGTTTATGTCTGTAGCATTCTCAAAATCTTTTAAGGAAATTGCCCAATCAAAAAAGGAGACAAGGTTAGTAATGCAAGATCTGTTCTTAACAAATCCATGCTGACTTCCTGCTAATCACCACATTGTATTTAAAACACCTACCTCTTTATTTATGATGTGCTCTAAACTCTTCCCAGACATCAGTATCAGGCAGATTGGCCTGTAGTTCCCTGGATTCTTCTTTTCCCTTTTTATGAAGACAGGGACAGCATTTGCCTTTTTCCTGTCTTTTAGCACTTTACCAGTTGGCTTTGAAGACAGACGTTGCCAAAAACTAATAGAAAAAATAGAAAACCGTGAGTGGCATCACAGAATAACACCCATAGTTACTACAGCAATGGACTTCCAGTGCTCCCATTGTGCTGGACTTCCAGACTGGACCTGAAGAGCCCCCTCCATGTCCAGAGATGGACTGAACAACAGCGTGTCTTCTTCAAACCCGAAAGACTACCATATAGTTCTCCAGGATTTCTTTAGGATAATGCATAACTAATCGGGCAGACCATCAGGAAGTTATTTCGTTACTTTAAGATGCAATTAATTTGGCCCTTGCGGAATTTCAAGGAATGTATGCCTCTTTGGCCACGTTCCCATTTGTACCTACCCACAGCATGAACATTTCCTGTCGGTATCTTTTTTTTTTTTTTTTTCATATCTCAATATAATTTCATTCATTTTGTCCCCACTCCACAATGGGGTAGTCTTAGGTCATCCTTAGCTGTACCACTATTAAAGTAGCATTTTCTTTCTTAACCTGTTATGCTTTGCCACCCATTACATTTGATATAGTCAGGATCAGGATTAGAGAGGCATTTATACTCCATTTCAGGCTGGTGTGGGCATACCCACTGACATCTGACCCCTGACCAGCCCCATCTGCTGCCATTCCGCTGTTCTCTCCTAAAGAACTGGGTAAAGCAGCACTATGCCTGTGGTCCTTCAGATCTGTGCAAGAGCAATAAAGCTGAAATTTTGTGTGTGGGTTCCCTTTGCATTCCTCTGGCACACCTGCTTTAGCTGCCTGCAAATTGTTCCCAGCTACAATGACCTATCTGTCCATGTAGGACAGTCAGGCATGTGGACGTCACCAATATACAGAGGTGGAAATCAGCAGCTGAATAATGTAAACAGCTATCAGAATCATACAGTAGCACTAGAAAACTCAACCAGCAGTGCTATAAGTGGTTTAACTCTGTGATCTTTAACAATTTAGTGCAAGGCTGAAATAGCATAACAGCCCCCTCTATTGCTTCTCCAACAGAACATGGCAGCATTTGGAAGCTGTCATTTGTTACCTATATAAAGAAAGAGAAGGTGCTACTTTGTGATTCAGCTTCCTTCATGCCTCTAATCTGTTGTCGTTTGAATTCGTACTTTATTTAACTTGGATTGTGACAGAGCAGGGTGTAGAAAGAGGGGCACAGAAAAGAGCCTCATGATGACAGATAGACAGGTAGACAACCTCCATCCCTGCTGTAGTGTTCTAACTGGCAGATATTTTTGTTTTTTCTGCTGGCTGGTAATATGCAAAAGGGCAGCAAAACGAGGGGACTTAACAAATTGCTTTGTCTGTCATGCGCTGCCCACATATAACCAGGATAGTACCATTCAGGAGGAGTCAGAATAGAAGCTCTAGTGCCATGGTAAGGTACCAATGGCAGACTGCAGATTTCATTCCAGTATAGTTTTCTGCCGATTCAAGGATGGCGGGATAGCACTTTAACCTTGTGGTAGGAAAAAGCTGTGGGTGGGTGGGTTTTTCTCCTTGGCTCAGGTTACATGCCTGTGTTGCTCACTAGTGGTAGTCGTAGCCCTCTCTTTGGGGTGAATGGTTTTGAAGCATAGAACATAAGACTTGAGAGGACAGACTTGCACTTTCTCCTCTTTTAGTTCCACTGTACAGAGCCTAGGACATCTGGACTAGTGCTATGTGATGCAGTCCTAATAAAATTATACTCTCTGCATCCCTACGTAGGCCAAGAACCATGCACTTTGGACTTGTCCATTCAAGATCACGTCAGACATAAGTCTTGCTGGCTGGGGAATTCTGGGAGTTGAAGTCCACCCGTCTTAAAGTTGCCAAGGTTGAGGAACCCTGTTGCAAATGATAGTGATGGAAAAATTAGGAATTAGGAATGAGTCATTAAAGTCACCACAACTTTTGCAAAGCTTATATTGCTGCCTCAAAAACTGTTTCTGGCATTCTTTGTGCACAAAATGGCTGTGCACCCTTTCTGAATGCTTTGCATAGCTCTAGTATACAGCTCCGATGCGCCCGTATCTATCTCCCTTTTCCCTCAACTGCAGAAATGTACTGCGAGGAGCTGCAGATGGTTAGCTCTCTAGCCCAAGCATCTGCAGTGTATGAACAGTAATTTTAAAAGGGAAGGATTTGGAAATGATAGGTTGGAAAACACTAAATGTTTAATGTGTCATTGCTTCACCAGTAATGTGTGAAGCAGTCCCTCATCAACCCTAGAATGTGTGTCAGCAAGTTTTCATTTAAGCAGTTCAAGTCAAGGCAGCTCAGTGTTGATTTACTGACATGGTGAAAGACAGAGAAGGAGAGTGCATGTAAGTAATTGTCCCAGCAGTGCTAAATTGGAGCCTTAAGAAGAAGACCCAGAGAATACACAAGGAGGGCAGGATTATCTGCTCTGATTTAGAGTGTGGTAAAGAGCAGAGCTGAGCCCACACCTGCCCTGGGGTGCCCATCTGTCTGTTCTGAGGAGGGTTAGAAGATTATTCCAGTAAATGCATGTCTAGTACTGCATATTTTGCTTGCTCAACTTTCTCTCTTCTTTCTGTCTAACTGTGAGGTGCTGGTGGCTTTAGCAAAGGGCACGGCGTGGCACTTTTAATTCTTCACATAGACTTCTTAGGTATCTTTCCCTATAGAAAGTTGGCAGAAGTCAAACAAAAATTATCTTATGCAGAGAGGGAATAATAGAGATGCCAAGGTGGCAAAGGGCATGATTTGATTCTTGAGGTATTGCAGTCTGAACATGGCTAAGATGTTTAAAAAGAGCAACATCCTGGCAGTGCTTACAAACACTAGCTCTGCTCTTCCTGGTCATTTTCATGGCACTTAATTTTATTACAGTCATCAGCACATCAGGAATATCCAAATGAAATGAAAGTTGACCACCCAGTTTGTTTATCTTTAGAAAATGTTTTGCCTGCTTTTTACTGTTTAAAAAATAAATCCCAAAGCAAGCCCTTTCTCTGTGGTATGCAGTCCTAAGCTGTTGGGCTTATAGTTTTATGAGAACCAGGGAAGGAGTTAAAATCACTATGTCTTCCTTTGGCAGCTCCAGATCAAGCATGCTGTGACTGAGGCTGAAATACAGCAGCTGAAAAGAAAGGTAAGAATGAAGGCTGTGAGGGCAGCCATAAAATCCTTTGCTTCCCTTGGAGATTTGCCAAAATCCATTCTTGAGAATGTTTTCCAGAAAAGCTGTAAGAGCAGGTTCTTTGGATGTGCCTTGTAATAGCTGGACTATTTTTAATAGTGCTGCGCAAAGCATTTGAAATAGGGTGGGCATAAAAACAAATGAAGGACTTCTCTTTGAATGTTTAAAGCTGCCAGCTGGGAAGACATGGGCATGATCCATATTCAGCTTTTGCTCACTGGGTAATCCTACGCTGGGCACCATCCCTGGTGTTTTTGTTTTTATTTTTGGGTAAAGTTCAAATGGAGTGACTCCATATAACTTATCTGAGATACCACCATGTCAATTGTATGATTTCAATTCTTTAATGGGTAATTTTATTCTCTTCATTGTTTTGACTTTTCTTGTCCGACTGAGCTGCTAGAATGCTACCAGTTGGAAGTTCCATCTTGTCATGCCTCCCTCCCTTGTTTCCCATGCATAGACCCTTGGTCAGAAGTTGGAGAGCATCTCATAGTTTTTTGTTCATTCCCTCTGGCCCCTCTGAACTTTAACTGGAATATGTTACTCTGCTTTTTTCTTTGCTGTTACCTATCTTTGAGATAGATAAAAAATGGGGTTATGAAATACAATTGTAATGGCAATAAATCATACCAGTTTTTTTCTCTCCATAACAAGAGTTCTGCTGTGTAAGATGCTGGCTGCCCAGTTATAACTTCCTTCACAATGTTTGAAGCTGTAAAGAACTTAAGTCAGCTGTTTTGCTATTTAAGAGAGCTGAAGCAACTATAATCCTGTCTGCAACATGACTATCTACAGCTATAGCTTAGAGCACTAGTTTTTGCCTCTCGTATAAAACTAACAACTGTCCAGTATTATCCATGTCTTGGTGATTCCTCAAAGAATTTTTGTAATGCGGTGTATTTTGTATGAGGCTGCCTATGAAAGAAATTACATGTACTACAAAATATTTCAACTTAGTGTCCTTCAAATGTTTTCGAATGCCAATTTCTACAAAACCCTGCTATTTGCCATGATGGCAAAGTGGATGGAATTCAAAAAACTCTGGAGAGCACCAGACTCCAGTTGCCTATTCCTGTCCTCCATTAATATTGGATGTAAATTAGTATAATCATATCACTCTGGGTTATATTAACTATCAAAATATGTTCAGATTCCAAATACAGGTGCTGGCTTTGTAAACAATTTGAGTTTCTCAAGCAGTTCTTCCAGTGTCAAAGTGTACTACACTAAGTCGGCTTCCACAGAAGCAGTGGCTCTTCCATTGCTTCTTGGAGCTATGGATGCCTGTCCATGAATAGTTGTTTTTATGTGTTCTTTGCTTTTGCTGGTTTTGTTTGTCTGACCTTGATTTTCATTAGGTTAGTTATTAATTTTTTTGGTTAATTTTATCCTACACTAAGTAAAATTTATGCAATTGAAGTTTAGTGAGCTTATCAATTCACATGTAACTATTTTCTCTCTCTTGCATTCTCTGTCCTCAGCTGCAATCAATTGAACAGGAGAAAGCTCGCTGGCGCATTGAGAAAGCCCAGCTAGAACAGAGCGTGGAAGAAAACAAGGAGCGGATGGAGAAGCTGGAGGGGTACTGGATGGAGGCTCAGAACTTGTGCCAGGCTGTGGACGAGCACTTAAAAGAGACCCAGGCCCAATACCAGACTCTGGAAAGGAAGTACAGCAAAGCCAAGCGACTTATTAAGGAGTATCAACAGAAGTAAGAACTCCTTTTCTTTCATAAGCATGCTGACAAAGCCATTTCCCAAAGTTAGCACCCTAGCATCCAATGGGATTGATAGGGACATGGAACAAATCAGGTGACCAAGAATGGGGAGCAGGCTCGATCAACCCACCTATCAGAATAAAACACCTGTAGTAGTTATAATATGATTTTTAAAAATTAAGCTGTGCACTCTTGATAAAGAATGTGAGACGGACATGGAAAATGACTGAGCAAAATGGTCCTGCCTGCCTGCTTTCATTCCTTCCTAAATTACTTTTTTTTTTTTTTTAGTTATATGTGAAGTACTAACTGAACTTCATTTCATAGCTTGGGGATTGGTAGGGAGAGGCTTTTCACAGAATCTTTGGACTTTAGGCAGAAATCATAGCCTGGATTTTATGTGTAGGGGTAGGATCTTGAGATGATTGAAAAGGCTGTTCCATTTCAATTGGTATGAGGGAATTACATTTTAATGTTTCTCTATATAAACAGTTTCTTGCAAATAATACTGCAAGGGAGAAAAAGATATTACTGTTTTTCTGCCCAGTATATGAATTGTGAAGATTGTTTCACTTAACAGTGAGGATTTTTGATATGGAGAAAGCATTTAAAATTGATGTGTTCCACCAGTGGCTGAAACAGGACAAGTCGTTGTATCATTCTAGGGTTCTTGTTCTGTTGGGTATACTGAATAGTCTGATTAGACTTCTTTAAAAGTAGAATATTCCTCTGGATTAGAGGGTTCTAGAGCCAAATATTGTTGATGTTGTTGTTGTTCAGTCGTTAAGTCGTGTCCGACTCTTCGTGACCCCATGAACCATATTGCGCCAGGCCTTCCTGTCCTT